AGAAAAATCCAAAAAAGTTCAATCTGGTCCTCTGGACATTCAAAAAAACAAAAGCAAAACAAAGCAAAAAAAATTCTAGAAACGTTTCATCTCTCATCCAAGAGACTTCCTCAGTCTGAGGTGCTGTTTTCAGCTCAGTCTCTTAAATAGCACCTTCTTAGAGTGGATCAACCAGTTTGCTGCTGGCAACCAAAACCAGCTGATCACATGCTCAAGAAGGACCATCAGCCTAACAATGGGACCCATTGAGACTGAGCTGAAAACAGCACCTCAGACTGAGGAAGTCTCTTGGATGAGAGACGAAACGTTTCTAGAATTGTTTTTGCTTTGTTTTGCTTTTGTTTTTTTGAATGTCCAGAGGACCAGATTGAAATTTTTTGGATATTGTTACATCATTTTCAGCCCCATTTTTGGCATCTGCATTTGGTAGCAGGCCAAATTGACACAGACCATGCAGAATAATGTGGTGTTTTAATTCCACAGCAGAGAAAGCTATGTAGTCTCTGTAAGTAGGTCTAGGAAAGAAAACATCAGTATTGGCATCGGTTATCAGCCAAATAGGTTTTAACATATCGGATATCGGCCAAAAATCCAAAATCGTGCATCCCTAGTAAAAACTAAACTTTTCATACTCAAATATGTTTCATGATGCAAACTGTATGTTGACACTGCTGTGTCGTTTTTCCCTGACATGACTTTATTACAGGAATGCAGGTGTTGGAGTGGAATGGAGTTCCTCTAACAGGAAAGACGTATGAAGAAGTGCAGTGCATTGTGGGCCAGCCATGTGCAGAGGCGGAGCTCTGTGTGAGACTGTGAGTAACATCTGTCATCAGAAAAGTCTGCGCACTTGGTTGCAACAAGGCATCTTTCCACCTGTTCTCTCTGCCTCATTAGTTCTCCCATGACATCTACACTGTTTAATCAGCCAAATATCCCTCCGTGACTTATTACTGCTTAAACACTCTAGTTGTAATTCCTTTAAATAATTAATATACTTTCTGTATGGATTCAAACAGTGACCTTAACATGTTGTCTGACCCTGAGCACCCACAAGTTCTGGAACATCATATCCAGCTTAAGGCTGGTATGTACAAACATTTATTTGTTTGTCCATAATCATGCATCTGTGCACTTATTTTCAGGATTTCATTTATTTTGCACGTGTTTTATTTTTTATAGGAGGTCAGCGTTCCCCTGGTGTCGATCCTAAACAGTTGGCTGCAGAGCTGCAAAAAGTATCTGAGCAGCAAGGCCCTGATGTAGTTGGGACAGGACCAGGGGGTTTAGGGGTCCTCTCTGCTTTGGACCGTTCTGCCCTCCTTCACTCAGGCACTGGGTCAGCAGCCTCCAGTGGGGTCCCAAGTCCTGGCCAACCAGCATCTCCTGCCGTCAACAAGAAACAGCGTCACAAGGTAAATCAAATTGATTAACTTGATACACACTTTTCTTGCAGACAGAGTGAATGAATAGGACAAGACAATGGCACACTGTCACAAGGAGCGAGTGTCATTTGTTAGCAAAATGGACAACAAACTAACAACTATGTCTTATATTTTTGACAAAACACATACAGTATGAAATAATGAAAACACTGTATGCGTTCTAAATAAATTGTTTTACCTGACGTAGATGTTTTCCTTAAATGAATGCCTCACTACGGCAAATAACTGATTATACCTCTTAAAATTCACTAGAGGATTTTTATAGTAACTAATACTGTTCAGTTGAGTAAAGGCCATACATCCAGAAATACATCTTGGTATTTTCTCTACCAGAACAGATATTTGTCAGAAAATAATCCAATCAACGAGCAAAATCTGGTTAATTTTCTTTGACCCAAGTCAGGATTTGTAAGTCTGATCAATTCCACACAATATTAATTAATAATAATAATTATTATTTATTCATGCATTTATTATTTCCAGCCAACAGAGGTGACAAAAACACCTCATCCCATCACAGGAGACATTCAGGTAAAAAAAAAATTAAAATCACAAAACTAAATCACCGTGCGTGCTTGTACAGTTTTTCTAGCTGTGCCTTCTCTTCACTCTTTTCCTCACAGCTCCAGATAAACTACGACAGAAGTTTAGGAAATTTGATTGTGCACGTCCTGCAGGCTAGAAACTTGGCCCCCCGAGACAACGACGGCTACTCTGACCCCTTTGTGAAGGTCTACCTTTTACCAGGGAGGGGGTGAGCTCCGAGTGTTTTAACGCACGCCGATGTCTTGTCTGTCTCTGCCTCTCTGCCTCTGTGCCTGTCTTGTTTTATGTATGAGCCCTGCTGTTTAACACTCACTAACCCTTCAGCTCGTTTCAGAGAATGACAGAGGACATGACGATAAGGGCAGTTTTTTTTTACAGTGCAATCTGATTCAGTTTGACTCTGCTTTTGTTTTGATTTTCATGCCTCCAAGAGAATCTTTTATCAAACGTCTCCATAAGAGCGTGCCACATTAGCCACGTTTGCTCAAAAATCGTTCCTATTATGTTTGAATTTGACTCAGCAGAGTATTTTTAGTGCACATTCCCCAGTGTTTCTGACTTCCTCCTGTTACCCCTCTCTGTTCCAGAGAGCCTGTGAATAGCAGGAGAGAGGATCGATGGAGCTTTTATCTGCTCCGTAACAATATCTGTTCTTAGATAATGACTCCATCAGGTCTGTTTATGAGATTTTGCTCCCCCTTGACCTGCGTGCAGCACAGGTTAGAAATCAAAGCTCACTGAGAGTAGTTTTGCTCCTCTGCTTCATTCATTAGGGCTTTTTTTTTCCTGCGTTTAATTGACTTTAGCAGGAAAGTGCTCATGTAAGGTGCCTCAACAACTGATGTATTGTTAGACTCACATCAATGAGTTGGGCACAGAAATTAGTAATAGAGCTCGCAGAAAATATTGATTTTCTCACCTTTCTATTCTCAACTGCCTTTTTTTTTTAGCGCTCTGGGCTTCTCTGACAGTTTTTCTTTTTGTATTTTTTGTTTTCTTTCTTGTTTGTGTGATCTGCCCTCCTCTTCCTCTTCTGGACTCCCTCAGCCAAGTCATGGTTGTCCAGAATGCAAGGTAGTGTGGTGCTGATCTTTGCTTTCAGTTGTTTTTTTTGTTTTTTTTCTAACCTTTAAACCACATGACTGAAAGTTGTTTTAAATTTGTCTTCATCCTTTTGTTGTGGCCTTTGTTGTCCGTCTAATTTATTTCATGTGTGTGAGAACACTCGTGTCATTGCACTCCTTCAAATCCATTGAACACACCTTCTACCTTTTGAGTTAGTTTTCATTTTGTAACGGCATTTTAGTCAAAACTTGCTATAAACCAAACACATTTAGTTGGTTTCCACATTTTGGATAGCAACCATTGTACAAACATCAACAAATTCACTTCATTTACTCAGTTTATTTATTTTTTTGTCGTGGAATCAGACCAAGAAAAGGTGTCTAGTTATTAACCTCAAAGTGTTACTGATGACCTTTCCTGCCTAATGTCCTAAATTATCAGTGCTGATAACAAGAGAAGAACCAAGTATGCCCAGAGGACTTTAAACCCAGAGTGGAACCAGACTGTCATCTACAAAAATATTCATTTGGAACAGGTACACACTCTCACACTGTATATGCCCTCCTGCAGTCTTCTTTACATGCGTTGCGTACCGCAGTGGGCAATGCTGTATTAACATCTTACTGTATACGTGCAGCTTGACATATCTTTACCCCAAGCTTCAGTTAACATTTATGCTCTAACGGTCTCTGAAGTCTAGTTGCATGCTATTTGATAAAATAAGTAAAAGAGTTATTAGTCGTCAGGTGAACATTTGTTCATTTGCTGTGCAAAGATTTTTTAACTTGTCTTTCTCTTGTGGGAGACCAAATGCATACCTGCCCAAAGCACCAAACAGGAATCACCCTTGTGTTGCTCATTAAAAACATGCTCCTACGTCATTTTTGATTAGTTTGCTGTACAATATTCAGTCCATTCATGTACGCGTCACTGACTCAGCCATATTTATTATAAACACACACTTTCTTTACTCACATGCAGGATGCCATAAAGTTTGTGACTCTGTGCTCTCATCCTCTTTCCATTCAGTTAAAGAAGAAGACTCTGGAGGTGACGGTGTGGGACTATGACAGATCCTCCTCCAATGATTTTCTTGGAGAAGTAGGTGTTTCTAGATACTGTTGTCTCAATAGCTCAAGTAAATTAAGCCTTAGATGAAAAATGTATGTTTCTTTTTTCCTGCCTTGTTTTTCTTGCTGGACTAAAATGTTAATCTTTCTGTATGTATTTTTTTTACAAACTTATTAAAACTTGTTTTACTTTATGTCTCACAATTAAATAAGATTAAGTTAATGCAAGTCCAGTGATCAAACCCCGTGTATTGACTCTTATCATCTTTAAACAAACTTCTCTTCTTTGTCTACCTGATGTGGAGACCAGAGATGAGATAACCCAAAGTCATCCAGTAAAATAAACAAAGGGTGAATTTACAAATAAACAAACAAACAGACAGACGTAAAAATAAAAAGGTCGTGCAGCCCTGAAAGCAAGGGCAGAGATAATGGTGGTAAAACAATCTGCTGGTCAAAAATAAAAGGAAAAGTGAATACATTTACAGTGTGTTAGCTGTGTTTTGGTACATACTCTAAATTTCATCTGGATCTTTCATTCACTGTGTGTTACAATACAAATATAGCCATGTTGCTAAGTAAATGATGTGTACAAATCTGTGCACTGCAGTCAACCATCATGCATTGCACTCTAAAGCCAGCAGCCACAGAGCTAATGGTCCCTGCTGACATCAACGTCAACAGCTTGTTACTGTGATTTTCTAACCCTCTGAAATGTGAGAACAGTTATAACGCACATAATCGTTTGTGAAATGGTTCATCTCCACACCTGTCCAACCCAAAAGATTTGATTAAGTATTACAATAGATCTGAATGTATAATAAAATACTTAGTCTAAAAGTGGAAACGTTCAGCTAATTTTTTTATCTGCAGCTCAGACTGCAACAATGCTGCCACTGTGGCTCTAAAATCAGCTCTTTGACATTCTATATTGAATTAGAATAAGAAAAACTATTCCACACAATTTTCACTATGTGGAGTAAGTTCTTCTTTTTGTATTAGAGTAGCTGTTATTAAAAGAGAATAGTTTATTTTATTACATAAATATTGTTTCTGTGTTTATATGGTACAGGAACTATTAAAGGAGACATTAAAGGTCATTGTGCAGTTATTTCTTAATTTAACCAGCTTTTTTCATGGCTGCTTCTGATTCACAGGTACTTTCCCTCAGTTATACACACACACATACACACAT